TCTCCATCCTCCCCAATCTCCTCCCCTCCCCTTCCTACTTATGCTGCCCCTCCTTCTTGTCTCCCTCCTCCCTCCTGCTCTCCCTTCTCCATTTCTTCTCCCTCCTCCTCTTTCTGTTCTTCTCTCTCTCCTTCCTCCTCCATCTTAACTTCTTTCTTCTCCTCTCCTCCTTCCTTTTTCTCTCCCTCCTCCTCCTCCCCATTATCCTTCTCCCCCTTTTGCTCTCGTCCCCCTTCTCCCTCTTTCCACCTCCTTCTCCTGTCCTTCCTCCCCCCTGCCTACTTCCCTCCTCTTCCTTCTCCCCATTATCCTTCTCTTTTCCCTCCCTCGTCTCTCCCACCTGCTCCTTCTTCACCTTCTCTCCCTCTCTCTGCCCCAAATCTAGGCCACTGGCCTCACATTGGAAGACATAGAGAAAAAGACAGATTTAAGATCTCTGGTTCCTGGGCGGCACAAATGGTTTGATCTTGGCTACAAACCAAAAAAGGAGTCCCCTAGCATAGTGGTTAAGCACTAGGCTGCTAATCAAAAGGTCATTGGTTTGAACCCACAAGCGGCTCTGCAGGAGAAAGATGTGGCAGTCTGCTTCCATAAAGATTCCAGCCCTGGAAACCCTGTAGGGAGTTGTACTCTGTCCTACAGGGTCCCTGTGAGTCAGAATAGACTCGACAGCACACAACAACATTACAATTGTTATAATTATTAAAGTTATCTATTATTGTTATTTAAGTTATCTACCATCATTATTAATGTTATGTTATTATTATTGTTGTTCAAATTATCTGTTATTATTATTGAAGTTATCAATTATTATTGTTAAGGAGGCTTGGTGGTGCAGTGGCTAGGAGCTTGGCTGCTAACTGAAAAGTTGGCAGTTTGAACCCTGTTTCCATAAAGATTAAAAAAAAAAAAAAAACCTATTGCCATCGAGTTGATTCTGACTCAGAGTGACCCTACAGGAGGGAGCAGAACTGCCCCATAGGGTTTTCTAGGCTATAATCTTTGCAGAACCAGACTGCCACATCTTTCCCCTGCAGAACGGCTGGTGGGTTCAAACTGCCGACATTTCAGTTAGCAGCCAAGCCCTTAACCACTGCACC